AATGCATATATATATGCATTCAATATATTTATTTTATTATATTTATTTATTCTATTTATTTACTTATTTATTTTCGCCCACTTGGCCCATTAGAACGATGACCTCTCATCAAACTTCTTATCTTTAATCTCGAGCAGGATGAAGGAGGATTTCTAATCTTCGAACACCCTTGGTGATTAATAGTTTTTCTCTAAACTATTAACTTTACACTAAAATAACTGACATAGACCATAGCATAAAGCAAACACACACATTGTGCTTGTGTTTGGTGTTGTAATAAGGATTGTTAATTTTGCATTTCACTATTGTGTCAAGTCTGATTGTTCCATTCGACATCATGACTCACTTAGTAAGAGATTTAGCATTACTTCAAATAGGTCCTTGACTGAATCTCCTGTTATAAAGCAGACCTATTCCATTGTCCTGAAATTAACGCAGTTTTACCCGAAGTTTCTGAACACACTGCATCTCTAACCATGTTACAGTCTATATACATATTTATATCCAAATATACATGAACTGTAAGAGGTCAATGATCAATAGAAATATATTTGCACATTTAAAAACAAAATTACATTTGTAATAAATAACTAGAATTAACTAAATTTGAAATACCCTCCTCTCCATCATGATATCTTGACCAAATCTCCAGTTAAGTTGACCTATTCAATTCCTTGATGGTTAAATCAGTTTTTACTTATAAATATCAAGAAGATGTTATTTGAATTATTTAAAATTTTAATCCCTCATTTTATAAAAAGAAGAAATTGACTATAAAAACTTAGGTAAGTCTTAAGTATAGTGCTGTATTCATTAATCTTGTGTTCAGTCAAATTTATTTTTGATTTTAAATCTTTTTTAAATTCTTCATTAAATAGTCGTCTCTTTCTTATAATTCTTCTCTTATCTCTTGAGCCCCACAGTGGCACAGTGGTATGTCTGTGGACTTACAACGCTAGAAAGCAGGTTTCGATACTCGTGGTGGGCAGAGCAAAGATAGCCCATTGTGTAGCTTTGTGCTTAAATTTAAAAACAAACAAAAATTTATCTCTTGATCATTCTTCAATTTCCTATAAATTTCTTCTTGGTGTTCTTATGTTTTCTGTATCATTCTTCCAATTTTTTGTCTTGCTCTTCTTTCATTTTTTTTATTTCTTTCTTCTTGGCCTTTTTTAAATATTGCCCTCCCCAGTGGCACAGCGGTAATTTCGTCATGTCAAGTAATGCTTTGATATCTTTTTGTTGAAACTGAACTAAGAAATATTTTGTTTTCATCAAAATAATCCCACTTCTGATATCAATGTTGTAACATTGCTCTTTGTTGGGCAGGTTCTTTTAACTTATTTGATGAAAATAATTCATTGTCTAGCTCACGTAATGATAAAATAGTATATTATTTCATTAATGGTTCTACACTTCATTTTTACACTATTGACTTGTAGGTCTAGGTTAACAAATGACATAGAAACAGATATACTTCCCTAAAAGTACTTGTACAATTTTATGGCAAATCGATCAAATAACTGAGATTATGCAATAACTAACACTGATTCTAACAATTAATGTAATTAAACATTTCACTGTTTGCTGAAAACAACTAATACTCGATCAGTAACTACTCGGCAATCACACACTAAATACTTTACTTTGACATTTACTGCTAGCTTACTAATTTACTGGCCTGCTCGCATTTATAACTTACACTCGTCTCTCGATACTCCCTGAATTTACTAAATTTCCTTAATGTCAAGTTTAAAAGTTTCTAGGTATTCTAGGCCTACTTTAACGTCATATGCTCTCTAGCTAACATCTATATCGCAAAACTGAAAATATAACTTACAAAAATATATTGTTGCGTCATCGAGGTCACGTGACTGGTGTGGCGCCATCCTATTTTCTAGAACTATCCTGTACCTTGGCGAATGCTCTAGTATTTACTAGATATAGGGTAGTCTGGTATATATAAGAGGGTGACAACATGACGCGGGAATGTGTGTGTGTAGACAGTGAGTATTTGATCTGCAGTCAGAAGTATTATTGAGCACGTTCGTTGTTATAGCGTTTGTTTAGCGCGATTGTTGAAGTTGAGTGTATCGTAAAGTTGTATTCGGAAAGAATAAACCAGTTTTATAAAGTAAGGACTTGTGTCGCTAAAGTTTCGTCGGAACGAAGTTACGGAAAGTTAATTAATAAACGGAGACATAACAATAATGTCTGAAATCATAGTTAAGATAAATACGTTTCTTTTCAATGGTTTTATTCGTAGTTATCAAACAGTGAAGGCTTAAATCTTTAACTTAGGCCTACGTGATTCATCACATTCTGTAACGGCGTAAGTTAAGACAGACGACACTGCTACAACTATTTTAATTGTTAGTGTTTCGAAATGTTTTAAGATATCTCCAAGTCAAAGTACACTTGGAAATTCCATGATAAGACCGGGCAAGAAAAGACACTTTGTTCACATATTAAAGTAAGCATACTCAAGAAAGATGCGTCTTTTACGTAGACGTATTTGTAGGAAGCCTTAAATATTTAAATCAGTAAAATTGACTGGTTCTTCACAAAGTTGAAAGTTTATGTAGTTCTTTCCATAATCTTTCACACGGACAAATAAATTGCAACGCGATTACTTTAAAATACAATAAAAAATATTGTAAAGTTCATACCAGTTTTAAAAATTATAAATTAATGATGCGTTAATTCCTTTTTACAACCAGAGTAAATAGAATTTTCGGATATAACACACCTACAGATCGTGTTCAAACTGGTCAGTCATGTAGGGATTTTATTCTCCATGTAAAGTTGAGACGGCTTAATCTGCTTTGTGATCATTAGCCAGAACAAGTGATATGTCCACTTCTATCCCCATCTTCTTTGGATCATTCTTTCAAATTCAGTAGCCAGCCCTACATAGCTTTTTTTATTTAGCGATATTTTTCCCCCGAAATACTTGTAATGATTAGAATGCACAGATTCACCAGTATGGTACATTCGCTTTTAGCGATATCTTAAACGTCGTTACTTGTCTAAATAATGTTATATTTGTGTAAATTTCCGCATTTTAGACTTATAATAATTTAACAACCATAACATCACGCGGCATGCAAGTTTACTATTTACTAAGTGATTGACCAGTTTGCACACCAATACGATCTGTAGGTATGTTATGTCCGAAAATTCTATTTACTCTGGGTGTAAAACGGAATTATTATTTTTCCTAATATTTGTTTGTTTACTTTTTTTATAAGATGGCGTATATTGGTTACTAGGTTATAGAGTGTGTTCTAAAGCTTTATAAATTTTGCATATAATAATAATAATAAAATAGGTAGTCAAAGATCGTGAAGGCTGTTTTGCTCTGTCAAATGACGATAACATTATAGTTACTATTAGAACTAAGTAGGCGCTAGGCCTGTTGAATAAAGATGAACGAAAATAAGAAATCTCGGTTTTGGCTATTCGCCTGTTTTCGACTTGGGGACGCTCTGGATAGCTGAAAAAGCGGCATATACACCGGGAATGGAGCGACTATGTCACTTAGCTCTTCATATCTAGCTTCTGATGACCTGTAGAGAAGAAAATCCAGATTACTTTTGTATTGCCATCCATACAAAGAGAGTGCTAACGAAGTGTCCGATAAATAGGAACGGGATACAATAATCGATAATATTGGGTTAATTTCAAGTTCTAGTCAGTTTAATTTCCTTCGATTATAAAATCTTGAACGCGATAATTTTTGGGCAACAAATGTATTCTGGGCGAAGTGTTTCCACAGAAAAAAGTGTACCCTTTACTGATTTATGTTTAATGAACAGGCAAATTAGATACGTGTGCATAAAGAAGAACACTAGACTGATGAAACAAGCTTTATATTTATTTGCTCAATTCGGAACTTTTAGTTTGTAAGTACAAAATTTTTCGATCATTTTGTCGAATAACACAAAAATGGTGGATCTGAAAGATAATGTACAACCTTCTTTATGTAATCCAGAAATTGTCGAAATATAACAAATTGTTTTTTTAAAGTTTTATATTTCAACCCATATTGAATTGCGTGATGACCAAATATGTCATTATTATTCATTAGTTACTTAAAAAAGTAAAATATTAACGATCTATAAATATCCTTCTTCATTATATTATTTTTATTTTGTCCATAAGTCTGGCTGTCAGCAGACGATCCATGACGTATGCTCCTTAAAAGATTAAATTAGAATCGGAGCCCAGAAAAGCAAACTAAAATACTGAAAAATTAGTATATACTACCCCTCTCCATTTTTTCAGGATCTGAAATCCCATTATCCAAAAAACTGAAACATCTTTTTAAAACAAATGTTGATAAAATACACAAATTTTATACTGTGAAACACCATCAAATATTTCATGCAAAATCATAACTTGAACGAACACTGAGCTCTTTCGAAACGTGGTCTTATATTCTTCTTTGTAAAGGTTTTAGTCCCCAAAATCCGGACACATTTAACAAGAAATGAATATATTTTTAGTGTCGGCCGTAAAAAAGTTAGTAATAAGTCTAATCTAATTTACTCGAGACACACAAAGTTACAATAGTCACTGAGAAGTATATAAGGAAGTTTAACTTGCTACCAGTAACATACACTACGAATTAGTTTGGTTTGTTATACACAAACCTGAAAGACTTATAACCACTATTTGCGGACTTTTAGAAAAGTGTTGTTGAAGTCAACAAAACGATTTTGGGTAACAATGTTAACAATTTTTGTTATAATGACAAAATAACATCGTGTAAAACCACACATCATATCTTATCTCAGAAAAATATATACAAGCATCTCCAGAGGAATAAAAAAAACAGTCAAACGGGGGCACGAGGAGCAAATATTTTTGTCAACCAGCGCGCTGACCAATTAGCAAGCAAGTGTTCTTGATAAATAGAGGGTTAACCAATCAGCTAAAGCTAATGGTGTAATTTTTAACTAATCAAAATACTGTTGACATTGTACTCCTACACTGTTAAATCTACAAAATCAACGTTGAAAGTTTCTACTTAGGTGCTAACGTGCAATGTTTAAGAAAATGTCGCCACCAACTGGAACAAATTTGGTGTTCTTATCATTTGAACCGAAGAGTTAATCCATTTGTTTTGCTAGTAGCAACTCCATCCATTCAATTTTTTTTTAGTCTCGATGCAGCTTGTGACTGTTGGGGCACCTTAGATGTTGATGCATCATCAGTAAATTTCAGGTCTCAGGCAGAATTACCTGGTGGCGCCCATCTCTCCAGACAACCGTCCCTAATTTAGCAGTTAAAGACTAGAGGGAAGACAGCTAGTCAACACCACCTACCGCCAATTCTTGGACTATTCTTGTACCAATGAATACTGGGATTGACTATCACATTATAACGCCCCACGGCTAAAGGGGCGAGCACATTCGCCTACAGATGGCGAGTGAAATGCTCTAACCACTAAGCGTGTTAGGCCCATACATTCCTTACAGTTTCATTTAAAGTTCTTTAACGATGCCATATTTGAAAATTTATAAATGTACTGATTAATAACACAAATTTTCGGCGATAAAGATAAAAAAACAACATCTTATAATCTAAGACTAAAGATCAGGTAAATTCAAAAGAAACTCAAACATGAACTTTTTTTCCTTTGATCATGTTCTTAAAAAAAAAGAAAAAAGTCTTGTAAAATAAGTTACATTAATGGAAGTTATTAAGAACTGCTACTGCTGGTAAGATCTTTGGAGCAATTGAAACATTTTTTGTACGCTTGTCTGTACTCTTGACTCATCAAGACGTAGATGATGGGGTTGATACAAGAACTAAAATAAATTGAGACATAGCCCAGAATGTTGATCACTGGTAGGTCATCCTCTTTTCTAGTTATTTTAATTATAGTTACAGGAAGATAACAAATGACGAAAGTGAAGAAGATGACCAGAATCATTCGCAGAAGCCTGATGTCTTTGGTTAGTTCTTTTTTCCTTTTACCAGAAAATTCTGATGACGGGTGGAATTTTTCTCGGAGTTGTTGAAGTAATATCCTCGGTGACTTTGGGCCTCCTTCAGTTCTAGTGTTGTCTGGTCGTTCTTTGATATTTTTATGAGCTTTTCGAACGACGCAAAATATTCGAGAGTAACAGATGACAAAAGCTACAGATGGCAAGACAAAAGCAAACACGTACAAGAAAACTTTTGGTGAACGACCATTAACCTTCAGAATAGTACAAGTTCCGACAGTGGGGTCAAATCCAAATTTTCCCCAAACGTTAAGAAGAGGAGGGAGAAGACAGATGAAAGAAAACAGCCAGATTGCTGCCACCATAATCGCAATCCAGTGTTTTTTGTAAATGCTTTTATACTTTTGTGGATGAACTATAAGGACGTAACGATTAACTGTTATTGCCACAACAGATAATAAGGATACGGCGACGTTGGAATATCGAATTAATGGAAAGAGCACACATAACGCATCTCCGTGAACCCATTTACGTCTGAGGAACGTTGAGGCCGAAAGAGGGATAGAAAAAGCACAAAAGATGGCATCTGCAACACATAGGTTGATAATAAACGTTGTTGTGGCATTTCTAAGCCGCGGACTTCGAGCCAGTGCCCCGATAGAGATCAGGTTCCCTGGGATTCCAATGATAGAGAAAACAATGCAGCACGCAGCTCCAAAGCTAAGCAAAGCAGGCGGATATTCATGGAATAAAGTTACAATCGCTTTGGTTATATTGGATTGACCGGGGTCACTCAGTGTAATATTGTCGTACTTGTTTGAGGAAAACGTAGCGTTTCCTTCTTGGCTTATATTGTACTCAAGGTGTTCGCTGCCGTCAGTTTCCAGTAGTGGCATACTAGCTAAGTCTAATGTCAAACCTTTACAAACAGAAAAGTATGTTAATCGGTGAGAAATTTTCACTGAAGTAGTCAGTTATTCTCTTGTCTTTCTCCATTGTCCTTCATAACACAACAACGTAGTTAAAGTATCCTTCGTAACACAACAACGTAGTTAAAGTATCCTTCGTAACACAACAACGTAGTTAAAGTATCCTTCGTAACACAGCAACGTAGTTAAAGTATCTTCAGAACACAGCAACGTAGTTAAAGTATCCTTCAGAACACAGCAACGTAGTTAAAGTATCTTTAGAACACAGCAACGTAGTTAAAGTATCTTTCGTAAAACAACAACGTAATTAAAGTATCTTCAAAACAGCAACGTAATTAAAGTATCTTCATAACACAACAACGTAGTTAATGTATCTTCATAACACAACAACGAAGTTAAAGTATCTTCAGAATACAGCAACGTAGTTAAAGTATCTTCAGAACACAACAACGTAGTTAAAATATCTTCAGAACACAACAACGTAGTTAAAGTATCTTCAGAACACAACAACGTAGTTAAAGTATCTTCAGGACACAGCAACTTAATTAAAATATCTTCAAAGCACAACGAAGTAGTGAAAGTATCTTGATAAGATAACAACGCACTTAAAGTATTTTTTCCTCTTACACTCTAGAAACAATCCGCTTTGATACAGTAAATCATAGAGGAACAAGCGCCTTGTACTGTTGTGGCATGTACAGTCTGGTTTAACCTCGTATTTGAGCCAATGGCACTGTAGTATAGGCGAGTCTGGGAAAGACCCATTTCCTTTTAACTTTGGACCGCTAGTTATCACTTCCGTGAAACATATCCGATAAATCTGGAATGTAAAACAATTCTTAGGCTTAACGCTTTATACATGTACAATGCTGTTTGAAACAGAATGCTATCAGACATACATTTACTATCACCACTTCGTTTAACACATTAAGCAAAAAACAAACAAAAAGTCATCTATACCGAAAAATACTTGAAAGTCATTGTTAACGGACTGCACCTGAAGAACTTTAAATAATTTTAGAACACAAAAACATAGTTAAAGTATCTTCAAAATACAACATAGTATTTAAAGTATTTTGATAAGAAAACAACGTGGTTAAAATATATTCACATCAAAGTAGTAAAAGTATCTTGATAAGACAAATGTGTGCTTAAAGTATCTTCAGAACACAACTAAAAGTATCTTCAAAACACAAGTAACTAAAATATCTTCAGAGCATAACAACGTAAAGTATTTTCATAACACAAAAATTTAGTTAAAGTATCTTCAAAACACAACAACGTGGTTAAAGTATCTTTAGAGCACAACAACGTAGTTAAAGTATCTTCAGAACGCAACAACATAGTTAAAGTATCCTTCATAACACAACAACGTGGTTAAAGTATCCTTCATAGCACAACAACGTGGTTAAAATATCCTTCATAACACAAC